TTTTTATGAGTAGTATCCCTACTACATTGAAAAATTATTAGAGAAATAAGTAAAGAAATGCTTTAGTCTTGTGTAATTTTTTATGTGGAACATTTCTGTAAAAAAAATATCATGGAAATCTTTTTTTATCTTAAAAAAAAATTAGTTTTATTGGTACCAGCAAAAACAGCTGAGTTTGCCAAATCACCCCGTAATTTTACATTAATTGCCAAATTACCCCGTGTGGGGTGATTTGGCAGAAATTTTTTTCTTAAGTGCTCTTTTTGTAAATGATCGTGCATTGGTTTGGTAAAAAAGTGAGAACAAAGATTAGTATGAGGTTGTAGAGAAATGTTTGGGCTATCGAATGATATAATTTTTATCAAAAATTCATTTAAAATAACTCGAACAATTAGATTTTACTATTTATTAGAAAAATAGCTGAGATTGCCAAATCACCCCGCATATATACATTAATTGCCGAATCACCCCATGCGGGGTGATTTGGCAAAGCGTCTAGTAGATCTCACTAAAATCATCATGAAAACGTTATTTTAAAAGATTTTGAGAAAGTAAAAACACCATTCGATAGAAAAATATTTTTTCTACATACTTTGTACCAAAAATTTTTTTCTATCATTTAAAATAAAAAAGTTATGAGTGATGCAACACAAAAATTCAATTTCGTGTGCCAAATTACCCCTTCCTACTCTAAATCAATTGTTTTTCATCTGTATTATTAATCGTTGCATAGACAAATAATCGTATGACGCATAAGTACTGAGTTGTTGTCGATAGCGCATTTCATTTGAATTTAATTAATAAAGATTAGGGTCTAATCCACTGTGAAAATCTTCATTTGTTAATTGTTTAGATAAGTATTCGTTCAATTCGAATTTTACAGCATTTTGTAAAGACTAAGATGAACCAATACCTAAACAATTTTCGCAATCACAATTAGTGGTTGAAGTTAAATTAGACGGTCGATATGGATGTTGTTGTTGCCAAAAGGCTCTGAATTGTTTTTGTAAATTAATTGAATCTAATTGATCAATTTGTTCACGTGAAAATAATTTAAATATAATAAATGGATATAATTCATTTTTTGATCCCCAAATATGAATTTATTTATTTGAAGAAAAAATAATACCAATTAATTCTCGAGTTAATTTGAAACAAATATGATTTTCATTTGGTAAGTGATACATTTCAATTAATACAACAAATGATGAATTATGTGGTAAGAAAATCTGCAATTTCATCAATGCGGGCTTCTTGCCTTTTCTATATATATTTATTGATTCAGTATTAATGGTAAATTCCGATGATACTGTTGCTGCTTGAATAAGTTGTCGTACACATGCTTCAGTTGTTGTTCGATTGATGAAGTACGTTATATGTGGTAATGGTTCAAATGGCATAAAATTCATTGAACATTCATATTTCTTGATATTTTTATTGAGATATTTACGAAGACTATTTTGTTTTTTATTTGTTAATGTTGCTGGAATATTGTTAAGTTGTAATCGTATTTCTTGATATCCTTTTTTGGACAACATTCTACAATAGAAACGCATATTATTATATGCATCGATTCTCTAGTTTAAGAATCTCTATAAGATTGAATATATTCGATTCTCGAAAGGGAAAAAAAAAGAATCTTTTATCTAATTAATGATTTAAAGCAATTTTCCAAAAATAAAGAACTAATAAATGAATACATTCATTATTCCCTAGACTGAAAGGCTAGGGTCTAGAAACCGTAATTCACATGTGTCTGTTTGTCTGTAACAAGCGCTTGCCACAAATGACCATTTCCATGGCACAAATGGCCATTTCTATGCCACTAATGACCACTTTTATGGCTCAAATGATCATTTATATGGAACAAAGGACTTTTTCTATGCCACAAATGACCATTTCTGTGGCATAAATGATAATTTTTTATGGCATAAATGGCCATTTCTGTGGCACAAATAATCATTGCTATGGCACAAATGACCATTGCCATGGCACAAATGGCCAGTTCTATGTCACTAATGACCATTTTTATGGGACAAAGGACCTTTTCTGTGCCACAAATGACCGCAAAAGTACGAACGTCTGTTTGTCATGCTTCTGTCAGTCTAGAGTCCAGTGAATCGACCATTGATGCCGATGAACGTTACTTGTGTGTATGTCAATAGAGATATGAAGTACGAAATAATATTTCTTTTGATTCTCATTGCACAGGTGAAGATTTATCAAGAATAAATGAATATAATCATATTCATAATTATATTTCGTACGATCAAATAATTAATCATTAATAAATGTCTACCAAATTAAATATAACAGCCCTTCACAGTCAGTGATTGAGGGAAACTCACGCTCCCCGGCTATGCAATGCTAAATTACACAATATTGGTTTAATGTAATAATAATTAATTATTCCATGTGGCTTGACATATCCATTGATAGATCGGATCTCTTGAGGGTGTAGGTGTGGGTGTTAGTCTTCTTCTCATTCTCACACATCCACACTCACACCCATCCACCCACACCCACACTCATACCTACACCAAACCCCACCCTACACCCACACCCTTGTTAGCTCTTATATGCATAGAGCTAAAGGACAAGCAGTGCCACTGATCGAATGTGACCGAACGAAGAAAAAGATACCCTTCATGGGAATGGAACCCATACCTTCTGGTATCCGGGCAGATGTCCTAAGCCAGTTAGACTAGAAGAGACAACCAATTCTTCGTTTAGCGTCAGAGTGTATCACCACTGACGCTAACACTAATTAAAATAGAAAAGCAATGTCTTTCAAAAACTGAAAAACTTCCGAAAAGCCTGAAACTGTGTCAAAAAATATGGTAATGGGGCTCCAATCTCCTTTGATTAGTTTATTAAAACGTGATCTTTTTGGAGAAACGGCATGTATATTGTGAAAGTGAAAACTTGGGCGCATCTTCCTATGATAAAAAGTCAACTCCGATTTTTTTCGAAAAAATGAGTTTTCTAAGGCGGAACTCTTAAGTTTGACATTAAAAAGTTTTCATAACCCTTCCTGTGTAATACTAATAAATGCCATTTTCGGTGCGCTCTAATTTGACATACAATTTGTTATTGATGCTATTGGAAATCACAGCGTTAGCCCTGAAAAAAATACTATCTCCAACCGCGTACAGATCGTATAGAATTATCCAAAAGTAACATGACTGACAGCTCGCAAACTCGCTAAAATTGAAAGAAAAAAAACTTGTTTGTTCCGATAATTCTAAACGTAATTGAAAATGGCATCAGCCACAACCATATCAAAAGTGAAGGATACGTAAATACACTTAGTAAAATAATGCTGCTGTAATTTCATCGCTATGTCTAATCTGTCAATACAGTTAGTAAAATGCGCTGTCGTAATCTTATATTTCTTTCAAGTCTGTCAATACACCGATAGACTAAATTTTTTATTTATTAAATACGCCAAAAGATGAGCAAGCGTGAATACTTCACACAACACTAGAAGAAAATACAGAGCAGAGTGAAGTGAATTGTGGTGTGCACATTCTACATTTGATATTCAGACACAACATGATGATCTTGACAGATTATACCTTGTATTTTTGTCTCATCATTACACTCATCAAATTTGTCGTCTGTGCACCTTCATCAATCGACAACATTGCAACGACACAAACTATTGAAATTTCTTCCACTGTTAAGTATGAGTTTATTCATGTCCAAGCCGTAGCCAACAAACCAACTCTCTTATTTCTTCATGGCTTTCCATCATCGTTTCATTCGTGGCGTCATCAAACTAAATATTTTTCAGAGCTAGGCTACGGATGTCTAGTGCCTAACTTAATGGGCTATGGTAAAACCTATTCTCCGTTAAACGAAAATGAATACAACAGCAAATCAATGATCGAGCATCTGATTGCTCTTCTCAAACGTGTGGGCTTGGATAATTCCAAAGTCTTCGTCATTGGACATGACTGGGGAGCGCGAACGGCAAGTCGGTTTGTTTTGTACCATCCTGAGCGAACAATAGGCACTGTGCTCCTCAGCGTTGCATATAGCCCACCAGTAAAATTCAACTTGACTCTAGCTCTTCAACAGTCATTGCTAGCTAATGGCTATGAAAGTATTGGCTATTGGGAATTCTTCGAAGCCAACGATGCAGCACAGATTATTGAGAGAAATATGGATAGCTTTATCGACCTTCTCTTCGCGAGTAATTCGACACTTGCCAGAACGGATGTTGCTCCACGTGGTAAGGTACGAGAATGGGTGACCAATGGAAAACGAACTGATCGTGCTTCGTACATGACACGAGAAGACTATGCCACAGTTCATGACTATCTTGCTAGGGGAATGCAACCAAAATTGAATTGGTTCAAAGCAGTAATTGCTAACGTTGATTGGGAGTATGAGAAGACTCTTAATGCAACAGTGCAACGACCTGTGCTCTTTCTTGAAGGCACCAGAGAGTATATTGGTATTATTGGTGCTGCTGACAGACAAAAGAACTATATCGCTGACTTGGAAATAATTAAAGTGGACACTGGTCATTGGGTGATGGAAGAAAACCCAGAACAGGTCAATCGAGAGATCGATCGATGGATCAAGAGAATTATGTCTGCCAACTCTGCTGCTTCTTCGCTTCTACTGGCTCCCTATCTTTGTGTTCTTACTCTGTACCTTTTTTCACTATTTGAATAAACTTTCTCTAGCATTAATCTGCTGTTAGATCAGTTGATGAATACACAAAACTCAAAATCTTCGAGAAAGTCGTTTGAATTTTTTTTGTATCTAAAACCATTGAAAAGTCATAGGACTTAATACAAATCCCTCCGCAAATTTTGGATGGTGGACAGTTTAGAAGCCTCCAGAGGCTTCTATTATGAGGAGGGGGGAATATCTGGAACGACAAGAATGAGATTAGAAAAATCAAACCACTGAAGAAGCAAGTATACATACCGTGAAGTCACAGGTGACTACAATCGTTGTCGGATGATAGAGAAAGTATATACAAATCGTGAGTTCTTATCTTATTTAAAAAGACCAGGATCAATAGAATGCTTTCTTGTAATGAAAAAAAACTTGCTTAAATTAAGCTGTATATACGTGGGGCACTACAAAAGTTTTTTCATACGCCTTTAGGATAAATATTCAGAGGAGGATTTTAATTAATTTTTTCAAAGTACTGTCCATTAGCATCAATGCACTTATGCATTCGAATAAACCAGTCTTCAAAACAGTTTTTAAAATCTTCTTTTGTGAGACTGTCAATGGCTTGTTCTAAAGCAGTTAGCATTTCATTATCGTCGTTAAATCGAATTCCACGCAGCTGCTTCTTGAGTTTTGGAAATAAGAAGAAGTCGCAAGAACTTAAATCTGGAGAATATGGTGGATTTGGATATTGTTCTACGTGATTTTCCAGCAAAAATTCATTGGTAATCCATGCTCGATGCGGCCTTGCATTATCGTCATGAAAAATGAGACCTCGAAGACCTCGCGTTTCTCTTCGTTCAGATACCGCTGTGAAGACTTGTGGTAAGCATGTGTTGACATACCAGTTTGCGTTCACCGTAGCACCTGTTTCTAATGGAACAGATTTAATTAAACCAGATTTCATGAAAAAAATTGCCACCATTCTTTTCCCGGCACTTTTGTTTCGATGGACTTTGGTTGGATGTGGATCAGTTGTCGACATCCAAACTTTGATTGTTCTTTTAGTTCGGGATCATAATGATAGAACCAAGCTTCATCACCTGTTATAATGTCAAATACACGACGGGATTGACCTTCTTCAAATCTCTTTAGTGAATGACCGCAAAATTGAACACGGAGTTGTTTTTGGTCGTCGGTTAGTGTATGTGGCACCCACCGAGCACAAACTTTTCTTAGATTTAAATAATCATGAATAATCGAATTAATTGCTGTGGAACTGATGCCCAATATGGTCTCAATTTGTTGATACGTTGAATAAGGATCACCTTCAATTAATGTCCGTACAGCATCAATGGTTTGTTGAGTAACAGATGTTGAAGGACGACCTGAGCGAGGAGCATCTTGAACACTGAATTTATTGCGTTGAAATTCACGAAACCAGTTGAAGACTGTATGGTCAGAAGGTGCTTGCTCCCCCCATGCCTGCACCAAACGGGCATGACTATCCTTGTATGTTAAACCAATTTTCCAGTCATACAAAATTATTGTGCGAAATTGTTCACGGGAGAGTTCAAAACTCATGTTGAAAATTATGTGGGGGTGACACGAAAAAAATGAAAAAATAGAACGATGGCTAATACGTGGAAGACTGGAATTTTGCACACAATCCTAAATATGTTTATCTCTTATGATAGGCTAGATGTCCTCAAATTACCATTTCTAGAAGAGCTGTATGACAAAAATTTTGTAGTGCCCTACGTATATATATATAAAATTTTTCTTTTGAAAAGACATTTTCGTTCATATTTTTTCTATTAAACTGTATCGTTTTCAATATAAAATACTGCCGATATTTCCAAATTTATTTGTTTATTTTATATTATAAAATAAAATGGACATTTTTTGTCTTTATTTTTCGTTTATAATAAAAGTACTACTGCCCATTCCAAAAAAAGAAGGCGGGCGGATATTTTTTTGAATAACTTTAGATAGGTACAAGATAGAAAGCTGCAGTTTTCACTTTTGGAAAGAGACATATCTGCGCATCTATCCATATAAAATTGTTGAGATTCATTTCATTAATAACTAGTGATCCATGGTCTCCTTGAAAGAGTAGCCTATTGCTCTATGAAGATAGGATCAATTTTAAACTTTCCGGAGTGGACTAGAACCGCCAACTCAAGCTCTACAAATCTACAAAAGGCCAAAATTTTTATCTCGATTCGTTCAAAGATTGTGAGCAAAATGATAACGGTATTTGACCGAGTTTTTATCAATTTTACCTTGTGTAAAATATTTTTCAAATTATCATTACTGATGTTTTTGATGATGACAAATCAATTGACAATGTTCTTTTAAATATAGAACAACTATCATTTTCTATCAAAATACTATTACTAACGATTGTACGATATTACTTTTTATATGTTATTACACTGTTAACTTGAAATACATACATTATATTTCACAAATACTTATGATCAAAAGCGACACGTTTAGGACTGTACGTAGATTGGATCATATATTTTTATGTTCTGTTTCGGGTATTTCTCTTACTGATTGTACCATAGCGAATTTTCAGCTGTGAATAGTTATTTGTACTGTCGGCGTTCACTATAAAGATGCCTAAAGACTATGAATTTTCTCAAGACATGAAACAAATATTTTTCAATGCCATCAAATTTGTCGAAAAAGAGAAGTTTGGACCAGTAATCCCACTGCTCAATGTTAATGAACAACTATCATCTATGTTTGATATCTCTATGAGGCCTGTCGAAAGATTAAAGAGTGAGATGAAACAAATCGAATATGACATGCTAGAAAGGAAGAGAAAAATGGAGGAGGAACAACAGGCATTAGAGAATCAAAAACTTCAGGTGCTTGGTTGACTTCGAAATTTACGATCGAGATCATCATCATCATTTTCGTCTATAATTAGCACGAATGATCGTTTTTTTTTAGATTTCATATTCATTCTCTTTTAGCCGAACGAATCTATCCTAACATCAAAAAAATTCTTGTCCGTATTCTGGCAGAAGGTTCTCATTTTCCTATTCAGATAACAACATCTCTGTGGCGTTGAGTGAGAAAAATTGAATTTGTATACAAGTGAACATCGAAAGTCGTTGTACCACTCGATACCCCTCATTTATGGCTGCGCGTGCGTGCTACTTTGCTGCTATTGATGAACTGCGCAACGATGGCTCTAAGATTTTTTGGCATGATGAAACATGATGCAACAAAAACGAAGAGAGGCGTTTTGTATGGACTGATGGAACAACAGGTGTAGGTCGAATGCGACATAGTCAAAATAAAGGTATTCATTATTTCTCTAATATCTCAACTGATAACCTATGATTATAGGAAAACGACTAGTGATTTCTGCTCTTCGGAACGAATCGGGTTTTTACAAGGAAACAATCGATATATTCCAATGTGATGAGAATCATAGTATGGACTCGAAACACTTTCTGACCTGGATTGATCGAACAGCTTCTCTTTTGAGAGAACAGCTAGGTAATATACTTTCTGACATTTCACTATGAATGTTACCGTTGACATGTCTAGGCCAACATCTCAAGATTGTCTTGATTATTGATAATGCGACTTGGCATAATCAACTTACTGAAGACACTATCCCTCCGAAGAGAGCATGGTGAAAAGAACTTGTCGTACAATGGTTAATAAATCATAATATCAGAGTCCCTTTTAAAGCCACTAAAGCCGAGTTACTTGTGCTCGCTTTCGATAATCTACCGTCAAAACGTTATGTGATCGATGAAGCAGCCAAAAAAATACAATGTCGATATTTTACGGATAGTTGAACTCCTTCAAAACTATTTTTATATTGATGAATGTATTTTCATAGCTTGCCGGTCAAACATTGCATACTCAATCCGATTGAATTAGCATGTGCTGGTTTGAAAAACTACGTTCGTGACAAAAATGTTAACTTTAGTCTTAGTGATGTTGGACATTTGGCCTACCAATGGATGACATCTTTAAGTAGAGCAACTGCTATGGGATATATTAATGAAACACGCCAGATCGAAGACATGTTCAAGAAGTCTGATCGATTCATCGAAGAAGTCAAGAAACAATTGGTAGACGAAGAGGAAGAAGTTGATTCAGTAGCAAAAGAGATGGACGATTAATAAGGGGTGTGGATGTGGGTGGGTGTGTGTGCAGGTGATTGAAGAAAAACGCACATCCACACCCACATCGACATCTACACTCACACCCACCCTTATATCAAGATTTATGCCACCCATCACTGATATGAATGATCAAACAGACAAAGAGGCACATGAATTATGGAAGAAACTGATTAAAGCTGAATTTGATGATATTCAACTGACCTGTCAAGACACGGATCTAAAATTTTCACCAAAGGATATATGGAATATAATTTGAGAGATGAATTCGAAGAATTCTTCCGGCTTTGATCATATATCAAATAAAATGATTAAACGATAACTGGAAATTTATGCTCATATACTAGCACCCCAGTATAATGCATTGTTTGCATCGGCATATTGGAGTAAAAACTGGAAACAAGCACGAACAATATGCTTTAGCAAAACGGACTATCCGGCGCCGACCACTCAACAATTACGTCCTATTTGACTTTTGGCTGTCCTCGGGAACGTATATGGACGACTCTTCCTGCTAAGATTCCAGAAATGGCTGACAAGTCATAATATTCTACCATGACAACAGTCAGGTGATCGAGCAAATCAAAGCACAATTTCACGAATAAACCATCTTCTTGAACAACTCATAAGCTCCCTTCGTTACAATACCTTCACACCAGTTCTTGTTGTAGACTTCAAACAAGCATTTGACATGCTATGGTAACAAAGCCTACTTCTAAAACTAAATCGATTAAATTGTCCAAGCCCATATCTCTTATGGATAACAAGTTACTTCAAAGACAGAACAATGACTATTGATCTCAACAGTCTTCTATCAGACAACATAACTATAGCAAGAGGAGCTCCTCAAGGAAGCGTTTTTGGAGCTATAGCATATATTGTTGCTCATTACGACTTACAACAAATATTTGAGAGATCTGAAAATAACCATCTCTATGTTGATGATCTGGGTAGCACATACGTCCCAAATATCTATTGTAATTTCCAAAAACAAAAAATCGATATTGAACAACGAATGAATAAAGACTTGGAAAAACGTTATAACTACGCGAAGCGATGGCATCAACCGATTAATTGCAAAAAGATTCAGTTTGTAGTATTCACTCATATTGTCAAACATCCTAAATTAAATATTAGTTATGATGGGACTTCTTTGGAGCAAACTAAAGTCTTTAAATATTTAGGGTATCAACTGGACTCTAGACTTTCCTTCAAATACATGGTTGATGATCAATTGAAGAAATATCGTCAAACGTACGCAATAATGAAACATATCCATCAACAATTTCCTACATTCTACAAACCTAAATTACTATTCTTTAATACTTATATCTGGCCATATTTATATTCTATGGCAACGATTTATTTTCTCCTCTCAAATTCATTGATGGAGAGAATCAATAGTTTTTATAAGCGCTGCCTACCAATAATATATCAGCTTTTCGAATGTCCGACTAGAAATCTTCACAACAGATTTCTCCTCCCTACATTGGAAGAGAAATTTCAGAAGAGCCTAGTCAAGCGACTCAACAATATTGAACGATTTGAAAAAGAACTAATTGCCTATTATCGAATGAATAAAACCATTATCAACAATAGATGTTACCACTATATGGAAAAATCCTGTATTCAATCACTACCGAGAGGACGACCTAGCACCCGCCTGACCGAATTCTACCAACACTCCCCCACTTTCTTTGACAAACTACCGCAATTCGCTAGTCAAGAACCATCTAATTAACCAACCCAAGCTGAAGCCTCAACTACTCCTTTGCACTCTCTCTGATGTATTTTTCTGTGACTTCTAACTGCAACTCTTTTCTGGTCTTTTAAATTTACGTTTTTATGTTGTGTGCTAGAAAATTTACATGAAGCGTAAGTAGTCAGGGCCAATCAGGTCAATCCACTCAAATAAAGGTCTTTATAAAAACAAAATACGTAAAATTTTAATCGACCAATCGATCGTAGACTAAATATATTGGTCGATGTAAGATAAGAGTTGAATAAAAAAAGCTAAAAAGTATATTTTACCAAAGTTCGACTTTTATTTTCAAAGTACATTCAATCAACAACTATTCGTTTCCGGTTGAATGCTAAACTTTTGAATTCGATTATTTCCAAGTTCACTGACAAAAATATTTCCCTCACTGTCGAGTGCTAAACCATAAGCATACGAAAATTGATCTGGTCTATCACCAAAACCGTTTCCACCAATGATCGTCACTCCAGCATTGGCATTTGGTGCCCATTTTTGGACACGAGCATTAAATGCATCGATAATATACATATTATTGTATTTATCGACTCTGATAGTCCACGGTCCATTGAATTGACTAGCATTCAATCCTCGTCCAAAGCCGCCAGCAACTGTAATACCTTCCGTAGCCCCTTTTAACCATTTTTGTATTCGATCGTTTCCTGCATCAGCAATGTACACTGTTTCACATTCATCCACATAAACACCAGTTGGAGTTGATATACTTTTTGAATTAGACTCCTCTCCTTTCTGTCCAGCAACAATAATTCCATCATGGTTTCCATTTGGGAATTTTACAATACGATTATAAAAGAAGTCTACTACGTACGGTGTACTTGTCCTTTCGTGGAAGCACATACCATAGAGAAAACTGATTTGATTTAATTCTTCACCTGATCCATTTTCACCAGCAATAGTAATACCACTGGTTGCACCTTGCGGCCACATTTGAATTCGTTGATGTTAGCTTTAATATGTATAGAACGAAAGAGACAAGCAGTGTCACTGATGTTAAGTGACAGAACGATGAAAAAGATGACCTTCATGGGAATCGAACCCATACATCCTGCTATCCTGGCAGTTGTCCTAAGCCAATTAGACTAGAAGGCGCATCTTAATCATCGCTTAGCGTCCAAGTGAATCATCATGGATGCTAACAGTTTATTACTGCTATCAGCAATGTAAATATTTTCATGTTTGTCAACATATACATCAGTAGGCGAATTTAACTGATTGGTCGCAGATCCGGCGTCATTGCCTCCAGCCACGGTGATACCACTGCTAGTCAATGAGCTACCTAAGAATTTTTGAAGACGGTGATTGTTTCTGTCAGCAACATAAAGATTATTTCTATTTTGAGTATCAACAAAAATACCTAATGGCGCACTTAGATGTTGAGAATCCGAGCCCGATTTAGTGTCATTACCAGGGTTGCCAGATTGTCTGAAAAGTCAGGACAGTGTCTGAAATTTGGATACCTTTCTGATTTCCTTCTGACAGTCTGATTTTTTTTGATTTGAGCACTCTCGTCTGATTTTTTCTGTTTTTGATAATTTTCCCTGCTTTTCTCCTGAATTCTGAACTTTTCTAAACAGCTTTTTTAGCGAAATTAAATCTTATCATAATTATTCGTGTGAACAATTTTATAAATATCTTTTAACTCAAACACATTTGTTAAAGCAAATTCGAAAAAATGGAAAATATGAACAATAATATCGAATCTATGTTACATAATCATCAGTTTTTTCTTTCATAGGATCTTATAACTTATATCGTATATATCTTCTGTTCACCCACACCCACATCGACACCCACACCCACATTCATACCCACACCCACATTCATACCCACACCCACACCCCAGGAGTTCCACAAAATTAAGTCATATTAAACGCAGAAAACAGACATTTCGGGTGTGCGTCCGAGTGTCTCCTTCTATCACCCACACCCAAATTCCTCCTTGAACTAGATCTTTTCGTCCGTTAGGAAGATCATTCGAGCAAAGAAAATTGTTTACAGTGATATTGCTCTTGTTGAACAGTTTATCAGCCTATGTACTCAACGAGCATCTTCCCTCGAACTCGATCCAGCTGATTTGTGCATAAGATGGAGAGATCTGTGCCACCATGTCTTCCTTCGTTAAACTTCTCCGTAGCATGTGAATGCACTCATTGTTCGAATAACTTCCTCATTTTCAATTCTATCCAACTTGACGCCACATCTGTACGGATCAACTTCTTCTGGGTGAGATGCCGAGCTCAGCACTTTTCAACGATATGGTATAGCTCAATCTGATAGAATCGAGTCGAGTTTTGACAAAGGCTTTCATGATGTAGTAGATAGGCTTTGTTGAATCATGGGAGCATAGTTCATCGTATAGCATCCGACTACAGATCGAGAGGTATCTGATTCGAACCTGAGTGCTCCCAAACCAATTAACTTTTCTTTTTCTTTCCTTTTTTCACTCGTTCAGTTGTATCATTAGTGGTCTGATTTCGAAATCCCAGAATAGCCAAAACTCATCCGAAATTATGGGATAATCTGATGGCCTTATCTCAGCGAATCATCTTAAAATCAGGTCACTGAACGAATCAAACAGCCAAACAATCGAATCTGGTCATAGCATTTACATAAAATTAATTTGATATTTAATTAGAGTATTTACTCGTATCAATACTTTCCTAGTATACGTGTCATGTGTTAATTTCTACTCGTAGCCCTAAATACGATATGAAATCGTGCTAATTCGAATAAGATTAAGCGCATACATCAACTTTTTCTGCAACTTTCAACAAGTATTGATAAATTTTAGGACAAATCGAATGGAAAGGATCTCCTCGATCATTTATGATCTAATATGTTCGGCTAATTTAGCGAAGCGCCAAAGAGAGTGTGTCGCATGGCGTATTCTTTGTCGGACAGACATTCTCGGGGTGGAATGAACACATTTGGATCACTAATACCGCCCGAAACATCGTAGAATGACTGATGACTTGTGCCGTATTTGGGATGCGTAGACGTCTGGGAAACTGGAAGACAGGCTTCATAAGTCCACATTCCAATATAATTGACAGTGTCATTCGATGGCGTCGTGTAATTACCACCCCTATTCACAATGAATAGTCTATGCTGAATGAAGATGGAATCAATTGACTCACCAAATAGTGACAAGTAGACCGGTACTGGGCGAGGCAGAAGAGCCGATGTAGGCTTCGCCGTACGAGCGAGCATCTGGCCTAATAGCGAAGTCACGCCACGGCCGTGTAAGTGGAAGGCGTGAGCAGTTGCGTGCCGTCAAGTTGATCACAAACTCGAGCTGAGCTTGAAATAAGGCGATGGTCTCATAGTAATAGTCATCGCCAACAACGACTTCTTCGATGAATCGTTCACGTTGATACAGTGAATCATAGCTCAGCTTACCTTGTACGGTAATTTTCTCATCGTTAATATGATCGATGATGAGTGCTTCCCATTGAGATGGAGATGCACATGGTCGCGGTTGTTGAGCAACCACGACACCGATCAAGGACAGAAGAAAAATCGAGAACATTTGTGTATTCGAGAAAGAAAAATGAAAGACAAACCGTTGTCGACAATGAATCAGCTATTCTTCGTATCTATATGTATATGCAACTTATATGCCTATATAAGACATATTATCAAAGATGTCTTTAATAAGACAAAGAAAAAAGGTCTTGTGCAAATATTCTTCCTATCAGCAAGATGATACACGGAGGAAAGAGTGTGGGTGTCTGTAACGTTGTATGTGTTACAAATATACCGATCTACACCCACACCCGTACTGTGGAGAGACAGCGGAGAAATAATTATGGCCATTGTTTGTCGACTGATATTTCTTATTGTGGCTAAGCATCATCACGCAACTTCAATAGAAAGGAGTTCTATATAAGGGACGACAATGATGACGAAAAATATTTCACTATCTTGCAACAAACGAGGGTAAATATTGAATGATGAGAATGAGTTAAATACAAGCTGCAAAGCTCGACCAGATACGGTATCCTGTTGCACACACAATAATTGCGTTTTTACCTATGCAGGGATTGTCGTCAAAGTAATGTGCAGATCTTTACAAAAGAAACGTCGAACATGATTACACACTATTGTTGTCAACAAAAGTTACGCAGGCTCAGATATACCGGTGTATGAATTGAGCATCAGCAGGTGGGCTCAAATTAGCCTCAATAAAAGAAAACAATACACAACGGTTGCTTCAGCCTTTGTTGCGTAATTACTAAAAATGACCGGATCAATTTAGAAAAAACGACGGTTACATAATAATGATCGCAGTCAAACCTTTTCTTCAAAAGCGTCTACGATTTTGGACTCATCCCCTTTACAGCAAATAGCTATTCCACAGGCAACAGAATGTTGGTATGAAAGGAGAACCGTCACAATTCCTCACATTCGTATGCTCAAGGGAGAGATAAAGTCCTCATAAATTCCTTACACAATAATTACAATTGATCGCAATTTGAATAGATATCTTTCATCGATGTTAATCATCAAAAACGCTAAATTACTTGTTGGAGATTGATGATTGCTCGTGATGACGTGTAATTAGGCTTCTTTCCCGAAAAACTTGTTTCTTTTTCTACCTCACACTTCTTTTAGAAAAGCAGTTGATGACAGCAGTGTTGATTCTCATTCAGATGAATATCCATTCCTAGTGCTATGCATTGCATCATAGCAGTTTTGACACTAGATGCACGATTCTACTCATCAAAGACAAGATTGCACCCTCTGTGTGAAGGATGTGGGTGTGGTCTTTATAAACTCTCCCACACCCACAGCCTTAATTTCTACGTAATTGTACATACCCGATCGCACTGTCGAAGTTTCACATAAATTCTTTCTATTACAAACTACAGACTGACAAGAATCCGTTCTATCTTAATGAAAAGTTACATTATTCAGGGTAGAATTGCAAGAATACGTTCTTATGTTTTAAACCAAATTATGGATACCTAGGAATTTTATACTTGTTGAATTTTAGAGAAAATGTTGAATAATAAAATTCATGATACCATCTATCCATGTTTGGCATCCTTCTTACAGTATAAACACAATGCTCAACACAGCTCATGTTTGCCTATTCGTGTTTTAACTAGGGTGCGTGGGATGTGGATGTGGGTGTAGGTGTGTGGGTTTGGTGGGTGTGGGTGGGTGTGGGTGGGTATGGGCGTGGATGTGAAGGTATCGGTGTGGGGGTGTGGGTGCGGGTGCGGGTATGCTTTAAGAGTAGAGTCACACCTACATCCACACCCACACCCGCACCCACATTCACATCCACACCCACCCACACCCTTCTACTTCTATACACACATAAAAATCTTTTTTACTATTGCACTTTGTTTGCTTATTTACTTTTATCTTCTTCTTCTCTTCTCTCTGTCTGTCTTCTTGAGAACTTGTGCTAAAATTCATATATCTATGAACATATCTCAAATTGTTTGCTTCTGATTTTTTACCTGAAAATATTCTTCTCTGACGACAATGCATCAATTTTTATAACCTAATTATGAAATGATTTAATTATGAAAAATTTAATTGTCAAATAATTTAACTATGAAATGATTTGATTATGAAAAATTTCTTTGTCATCATTTGATCTATTCTAAATAAATGTATATTCTCGATTTATTGAAAGCAAATATATTTCTAGAATGATATCTTTCGAAATCAACAACCATCATTCAAACTGCCAACTAATACAGTTAATATATAATCATCACAAAAAGCATCGCTCGAACAAATGAACTATCAACTAATACAAATAATTTTGTAACTATGAATCGAGTCATCATAACTATTTATTACCATAGCCAAAAAGCATTTATAGTCAAATATTAATGTAATCATCAGAAATGTTTCACAAATAACTCTATACGAATAAATTCTTCACAACATCTACAACTTGGTCTATATATTATAAAAAGCTAATTATATATGTTATCTCCAACTGACTTATTGATTGTTTGATTCTAAAAATATTTTGCGCTTCAACCTCTATATCATTTACAACTCATTCTGTATATCGTTTACAACTTATCCAATACGCATTCACTTTCCACAACATTAGGGGAAAATTCGTGGTATAACTTCCAATTTATTTCTCTGCATCATAGGCAGTTAATCGTCTTGTTTTTTACGAAAATCGCTTGAAAAAGATAATTCGAAAGGCCTACCGTTATTCATATTATTATCTTGTTATTATTTCTCTTCCTTTTTTTCTTCTCTTATTATTTTTCTATTTTATTACGAATAATAAAAGTATTTAAAACAAACAAAAAATTATTATATTATTATTTATTTTGTTCGTTATTATTCTCGTTTATTATTATATATTAAAATAACAATCGTGTTGACTTGTCAAATTAAAAGAATTCTGTGTGTTATTGAAAATACATATAAAATATGCATGTATAAAAAAAAACAATAAATCAATATTGCTTGGTTTTTTGTTACTTCCTTTTCTGTATAAATAATCGAGTATTGCATCAAATGATGGTATTTAAATATTTATGATTTTATTGATGAAAAACAGCTATGGATGGATGCTTTCATTCATTTGCCAATGATAAAATCACACGTATCGCATGGCGCAACTGTCGTATATGTTTCTTTAATACATCTTTCAATGATTAAAAAGACAAGATGAAGGTGGTGGTGCCTTTTATTTATTGTTGATTCTATACTTTCTCATACTCGTCACATGAATGTGAAATAATCAATTTCTAGAGATATGTTTGCTTGCATACCTCGAGTCTCACGTAAATTCATGTATCCTCATGTAACAAAGGAGGATTCCAAGTAGCCTTTTTCCTTAGTCTCCATATTATGCTCATACGTAGGAGGTTATTAGAGTAGTGTATACTCTAATGGCATTCTGGTCCTACGTAGAGCCAGTTGAGATAACCACTTTTTAGTAGATTTCTTTTGCGAAAGCTTAGTTTTTGACAAAAACTTATATTTTGGAATTTTCACCTGGAATTTTGTAAGTATGGACGTCTCGATTAGACTATCTATCTTATGTATACAAAGTTTCATCAGTTATGGATATCGTATTCCTACGATATAAGTTTTTCAATACATCTATGCTTTTCTATGAGTTCTGTGTAAGATAGCGATATATTGAGAAAACTATATCTTGATATTGGAATATCCAAAATTGATAAAACTTTGCATATGAGATAGTCGAATCGAGACCTGCATGCGTACAAAATTTCAGATGGAATTTCCGAATTATAATTTTTTTTTTGAAAGCTGAACTTCTGCAAGAGAGATCTACTAAAAAGCCGCTATTTCGACTATATTTAAGCAAGAGTAGCAAATCTTTAGAGCTTATGCTACTCTAGTAATCTTCTGTATATGAGCAAAATTTGAGGACAAATCGAGCGGATCACTTTGGAATGTTTCCTCGTAAGTGCGCTATAATAGAGGAAGATCTAAGAAGGAAGGCAATTCCAGTGAAAGTAAAAATCTTCAAACATCAACTAAGGAACTTTCACTTCGATGAGCATCAAGGAAATGAGCTCTAGAGATCGCTTATTAGTCATGTTATTGTGTGTGATGATCTAGAGACATGATTTATAAATATTGTTTCATGATCGGGTGAATGTGCTTCTTGACTCCATTGAAAACAGCACATTACGAAGCATAAACTCTTATTCTCATATCAATCTGAATGACGCACATTGTGATTGAAAATGTAGTTGCACATCGAGGAGAAAGGAATAGTTGAAAATAGACCCTAATATACGTTTATTGTAAACAATTAATGTACCTTTACAATGTCAATTGACTTTGGTATTCAAATTTAAAGCATATTGATATTGAGATGTTATTCGTCGTCGAATATTCTTCCATTTATTCTAGTGAGTACGCACTTTGTACTCTATGTAAGACGTCATGGAGTGCTAGTTTACACTGTGCAGTGAATTTTCATTAAAAACGCTGAATATTTGTCACTTATTACTTGCTGGAAGCATGGGTTTGAGACAAGATCTTGATCATGTGTAAACATATGCTACCTTCGATGAATTGTACCTCAAAGATGGCAGTCCTGCTTTTAATTGAAGCCAGATCTATTAAAATTACGTATAAAAGCAGTTCACTATGAAAATTCAATTGCTGATGAAATCCTTTTATAACAGTGGAGAGAGAATCAAACTTCACTCGGATATGAGTGTTTGTTATTATCAAGAATCATTTAAAAATTCTAACTGCAATCGGTATCTAAAAGAAGCTAACTACTTTGAAAGAAAAGAACCAGTTGGGGCAGCAATGTTTTTCCACAAGAAAAATCCGAAGAACTCCGATTGACTATGTCAATACAAAGAGCTTCTTCAACAAAAAGAGCTAGATTATAAGTGATTCGATTTAGTTTTTCATGTTGGTAACAAATCTCATGTCATTCTAAGGCATTTTTCATCAATGATTTGACGAACATTCAATTTGATATTGATCGAACGTAAAAGCTCAAGAATTTTCTCGACAGGGAATAGACATTCTAACACATTAAGACATCTCAGCAATCTATATATGTTTGAAAATTTATTCCCCCAAAAAAACATTGATTAATGTGAGTAAAAAAAAATGATGATTATGACATTAAAAAAAAAAAATGAAAAGTAAATCAATATTATAGAAAGTTCTTGAAAAAAGGCCTAAGTTTACAATGACATGTGTTTAAACCCATTTCCATGTAATTCTCGCACGGCCAATGCTAACGTCTCCAACTGCGGCTCTGAAAGCAGCTTCGGATAGATCAAGATCGCCATACTTACATGCTGGACATCTATCAACAATTTTCACGGTAACAGATCCTGACGGACCAACGACATTGGCTAGCTTTCCACATAAGCTATTTCTATTTGGGTTGCCATTAGGTGTATATGGATCGAATTGTGGTGCGTTCAATGCAGCGATATATTCACTATCACTATTCATTGTTCCACATGCTGTGAAGCCAACACTAACGCTATAATAAGTAGCATCTCCTTGAAAAGTGTCACCTAAACGAGAAACAGACATCTTATAATATATTAAACAACTTGACGAACTATTCGTGATTTTCAAGAGTTACTTCTCTCTCAAACAATTACATCCTCGATAGCTAGGGATCTAAAAGAAAGTAATCACTATATCCCCTGTCTTTCTAGGAACCTCTGAAAAAATATCGAATTGTTCGTCAGATTCTTCTCATATTCAATCTTAATATCCATAGATCAACCTCAGCATATTTTGATTAAAAGTGAGATGTGTAGAGCAAGGGACTTTTGGTGTATAACTCAACAAGTCAGGATTGTTGTGCTCACCCCTAAGTACCAGAATCTTTTCAGACGCTTTAGGACAGAAAAATACATAACGGCACAATTTTTATCAAACAAAAATGTTAATATTAAGAGTATTCTTTCAGTTACAACCAAACTTTATTCAACTATCTACAGATTGGGATACATGTCGATGAATTCTTAAAAATAGTGGTTAGGATTCAAGTAACGAAAAACATTCAGTATATACAGAATCTCTCTATTTTATACAATACAAGTTAATGTTATATTCATGAACACTACGAATGCAAGAGCGCTGGTCGAATCACAAAGGTCAGATCTTATAGACAAGACGAACTTCTCACTAACTTGAATGATGGCTCTTTCCACTCTAGCTCGCATATATGACTGTTTTTCTAAATGATGCGTCTCGAAATTCTTTAGTTAATGATATAATTCACTATATCTGACTGACTATGATTTTTTCTGCTTCAAACGTGCAATACATTTGTGCAATAATTATGAGCAACATTTCCGAAAATAACGTTTTTGAAATCTTCCAAAATATATCGATACATCGTCTGTCGAAAAAGCTATTCTTTACATTCAATGATTATTCATACAGTAGACTAGTTTATCATAGATTCTAACCATGTTTGACTTGGCAACATTCATCGAACTGATATAGAATATACATCAATATTTAAATTGAACCAAATCCATTCGAATTATCGAGGAAACAAAATTTTGAAAAGTTCGCAATGCAGTCTAGTAAAATACTGATCAATCTTTAGGAGACTCAGTCGCATTTCTCGAAAAATCAAAATATTCGTCTATGTCAAGTCCATCATAACATATACTAGGGAACCTCATGATGCATTTCTTACATGAGCATTCACATCTCAAAGTTAGAATGAAAGGAGCTTTCAGTCAAAATAGTGTAGGTTTCCCTTTTTCCAATAAACATTCTGTCGATCAAGTTATACTAATAAAAAATACAGGTCTCTTAAATGCCCTAAGCAATCAGAACCCGTCGATTCTGATCTTGTGAATTCGAAAAACGACTATTCACTGATCGCATTAAACACTTAGGCGAATGGGTTGTTGTCCAAAAAATGATCTGTATTACCTCCAGTGTTTCCGCCTCCATTTGTGGCTGGTCTAGGAGTCGTACCACCACTTCCTGTGCATGGACCAGCTTGACAACCAGCTCCACAATAAGCTTCTCCCGTTCCACAGTAACCCCATTGTGACAGACATAGGTTTGAATCAGAACAGCTCGAGCGAACAAGCCTTCGGCGAACCAAGCTTCTCAGCAAAACATCTTTATCGTTGTCATAGCCTTGAACATTGAAGAATATATTAACATAAAGGAGAGAATAGAGCAATATAGACCGAAACATATGCATATTTGTTCTTGCGCTGATATCTTTTTTACTATCTAAAGCAATAGAAAGTAAATGAAGATAACTACTCTAATAACTCGATACGGTGGAATTATGTAAGCGATGAATCGACAAAAGTATCTTACATAGTATAAGACTTAATCTATATCGGTAAGTGAAAATATGAACAAGAGAGAGAGACTAAAGAATAACGTGCGTTGAAAAGATATCGATTCAGAAACGATTAATCTAAAGTATTCTTTATTTTTGTACATCAATGAAATCAAAAACTGTAACTGAAGAGACACAAGCAAAACGATCAATTTTTATACTAATGTTTGTTGCTGCTGTTATTGATGAGTAAATATTGTAATGAGGAACCTCCCTTACGACAATTATGATTGATATCAATCGATACATTGCGTGATAACACAGAATCCGCCTCATTCGCTTATGGCCAAAGCGGTTTTTTTCCCATTCCTCAAGAAATTTTCAATGATGACTCATGATTCTCGTGGGACATATCTCATACAAAGGTAAGCAAAAAAAACAAATGAGAAGAAATGAATCATGCGTAAATGATACGTCATTCTCACCTTCCTATTGTCTGTTTCACTTATCATGATTTCATTCTATTGTATTTGTACAGTATGATCAACAATAGCTTAAAAACACAAAAAGAAAAACAAATCGGATTTTAGCATTATCTAGAGTCGACATTGCTCTATCTTTATATAAAGTGGATAAAGAATGCCAGTCTCTCTTTCCTTACTAGATATATTATTAGTTTTGAAGATGATCTTGATTCATTTTGCAAATAATATGCGTTCTCAACTATAATATAAGAAATATGATTTATAGTCAATAAATGACATAATTACAAAATCAGTCAAGTTAATAGTTGATCAGTAAATTCTTCAGCCCAGCATTTTTTAAATGCAAACACGTTGCAATTATGAGTATCCGTTTGAAATACTATAAATTACTAGCATTAGCCAAGACAACGTTAACCGATGAGACAAGAAAAAGTGATAGATCAGGAAAGGTTAAATCTACTTTACTAATACAATAATTCGGCTTTCAGTTTCTTTTTTTTCAAGTATTCTTACCTTTTTTCTTATTTATTCATTGGCTCGTTGATTTATTCAAATGTATTTTCTATCCGTAAAGGTTATCATTTCACTGATAAATTGTAAATTTTTTACTGCTACTTACGTTTAATAAACTGATCATTTTACAATTGATTACTGATAATTTTAGTACTGACGCTTAATATTTATACTGGTGATTACATATTTTTTTCAATTGATCATTGTATCTATTTTAGTGACCAATGATATGTCGGCATATAATATAATAATGGGTAGATAGTTTAACCTTTTTTCTATCGACTCATGCAATGTCAAGATCGATCATGGTTGATGTTCCACAAATATAAAGATTATACCGAAGGTTACTCACTGCATTTTTTTCAAAATCTAAGTACCTCACAAATATTTTCTTCGTGAGCTTTTGTTCACCTTCGACTTCTTGACATGTTTTTTTTTCTACTAAAAGAGACATTAAAAACCGTACATAAAAATTTATTTTAATAGTGCTTTCATCAGAATAATTTTCTGAATCCAAATCGATCAACCGAAAAGAGTTTCAAAATGTTTACGTGAACTCACTATAAAAGTCAACAATCATTAGCATTATCCATATTGTATATGCTATAATCATCGACATTATGTTTATTTAATTATTTTTTAATCTCATCAACATAAATATCGGTCTTTGTAAATATTTTGTCGGATTCAGTTACAGTTAAATTCATATTTCTATTAGATGTACGTTTTCATATTGGTCCAGCCTGGCTCTTTGGGAGTCAATGTGCAATGTCTTATTAGTGAAGAGATATGAGTATGATGGTGACTGAAGAAAACACCAACATTTACATTTACACTTCCAATCACACTCCGCATATGAACTTCCAATGTATGGCTGCTCGTATAAACTTTTGGTAGACAAAAAAAACACTTCGAAGGTCAATAAATTTTGTCATGAAGTCGATGGCGAATAAAAACTTACGGACGACATTGTAGATTAGTTGTTCAGGAGATAGTTTTTAGTAATATGACTAAGGAATAGAGGAACAATTAGCGATAGCGACACTGTTGGTTATGATACAGTAGAATCGAGCTGACTAGATGTGAAACTAGCTTTAGAGCAAATAATCATGGATTTTATTAAAATTCACTTACCTTTGCATCTGAATAAAAGATTAATTAACTTTTTTCAATCGAGAATTTATTGGAATCGACCTAATGGGAAGTGCAGTCGTGAGAGTTCGTCCAGTTCTAACTATAACTATCATTAGATTTGTTCAAATCTCAATCTAGGATTGAAGAAGGACAGGTCTTTTTCGAACAGCAACTATGGAATCAACGGATCTAATCAAGCTCCGCTTTGAATCAGTGAAAGCTGAGCTGAAATCTTCTTTATAACCAATCACGGTAGGGAATATTCGAATTGTGATTTAAGATATCCTACGTTGTTTCATGAGCATCTTTCAGTTAAATTGTTTGGAGCACATATACTCAGAGTAAGGGTAAAATAAAACAAAACAAAAGACTGTAGGTTACTTCATAAGAAACTACGATGTAAGTACTTGATCAAATCGACATCGAAGTTATCATTTGGAAAGAAAATTAAAACAAATATTTCGAAACATGCTTGTTATACATGAATAAACAAAATTAACAGTTTGAAAAGCTATTGAAGTAAAAAATAGATGAATTTCTTTGCATAATGTTTCATTCGAGAAGTCTCGTTACTTGTGATTTAACTTGGTTCGTCTTACTTTCATAATCAGTAAATTGCCAGCACTTCAATGTAAAGAATTTAGAAGACAAAAAAAAGCATTTTTGATTCATTTAAATACATCAATGAATTTTAACGATATTTATAAAAGAAAACCAATTGTAATCAAAACAGATATTAAAAAAAAAATTTTTTTTGATGAATCATATATTTTTCCGCAGGATAATTATGGCAAAACACACAAAGATAAGAGTGATTGTTTACATTTACTTTCGATGTTCTTTCTTATCTACGTATACATAAATATTTTTAACTTGAAGGCTGTTTATAAGTGTTAGTTTAATAAAAACATTATTTATCATATTTCAGAGATTAATTATTTGTTGAAAATTTCTATTCGATGCTTTCATCGAAAAACTTGCAGTTGCCATTGCTACTGGAGAACGTAACGTGTCACTAATTTTCAATAGAAAAAAAATATAAATTGAATTTGCATTTCTTTTATTTTTAATAACTATTTGTCCATTTTGTGACGAATAGAGTAAAAAGTTTAAAATGAATGATTCAGATGACA